CAACCTGGCCTTGGACACTTCCAGGGACCCAGGGGCAGCCACCACCTATTCTGAACCACTTGAGAGAATGAGGGAAATGTGTAATTATTGATCAAGGCTGAATTTTAGGGTGGCTTTTAATCATCACAGTATCACAGAATCATTTAGGTTGGAAAATACCTCTGAGATCATTGAGTCCAATCATCTCAGAAAAGTCTGGGGTTCAAAGGATTTTTAAGATCACCCAGTTCCATCCCACCCACCCCAAATCCATCTCTATATATGAGATTAAAAGAAATATTTAGCAAAGCTATTTCCTCCCAACACTTTCATAACTCCCTGTTTGTTGTTTCTGCCAGAGACTTCTGTAAATTCTTGGTTTGAATCAAGCCCTCAAGGAATTTGCCCTGTCAGAGGACAAACATCCCTGTTTTCTTCAGGCAGCCCCTGTACTTACCCAGGTGACAGCAGAGGATGTGTGGAGGGCACCAGGACCTGCTCTGGCTGCTCACAGAGCTCAGAGGGCTGGAGAGCTGCATTTAACCAGCCCCAAACCCCATGGGGCTCCCCCAGGGCCCCCCAGCTCCTGCCTTTGCTCCTCAGGGCGTGTGAGCACCAGGGGAACGAGTGCAAGGTTTCCTTGTCTTCTCTGAAAAGATGGCCAAGGGCAGAAGTGGGAGGGAAGGGAGATTTGGGGGCCTGGCTGGAGGAAAAAAATGGCAAAAAATGTGTACTCAGAAAAATCCTCAGTTTTTCCCTGCTCTGGGAAACTCTGAGAACAAGCACCAGGGCTGCAAGAAAGGGCTGCAGCCAAGGGCTGCACCAGCTCAGCAGCTGGTGGTTTTCTGGGTGCACTCAAAGCCCACCAGGAGCTGACACTTAGCTGGGACCTGCTCCTGTCCTCACTGTGCATTCCAGGACATTGCAGTGTCCCCAGTGCCCCCCTGAACAGAGTCAGACAGACAGACAGACAGCACGAAACACCCATCTACAACTAACTTTTCCACCGTGTCACCTTTCTCTTGCATTTAAGCACTGCCTATAAATTAGAAAATAATTTTCTGGAAGGAGCAGATCAACAACACTTCGTGGAAGCAGAAAGTTCTAGCAGAAACCCAATTAAGAGCTTCATTTCCTGAATTAGGAACAAATTAACTCATTACCCACACGGCAAAATCATATTTGCAAACAGCAGCTCGAGAGGTTTGTGGGGAGGTGTTTTGGGGCAGATTTCAGCAGAGGAGGGAGCCCTGGGGCTGCCCAGAGCCAGTCACAGGTGATCAGTCAGATCAGGAATAGACTCGTCATACAGTCATGGAATTATGGAATCATGGAATCATGGAATCATGGAATAATGGAATCATGGAATCATGGAATTATGGAATCACAGACAGGTTTGAGTCAGGAGGGACCTCAAAGCCCATCCAGTGCCACCCCTGCCATGGGCAGGGACACCTTCCACCAGCCCAGGGTGCTCCAGGCCCCGTCCAACCTGGCCTTGGACACTCCCAGGGATGGGGAATTGTGGTGTCTTTGTGAAAACATGTTTATAAAGGGGAGAAAATGTCAAAGCGAGAGAGGAGGGAACAACAAGAGTGAGAAAAGCACGAGGAGCAGCAAGGCCAGGGCAGGAGGAGGTGTTCTGTGGAGAACCCACCCCTGAGCAGGTACTGCCCCAAGGGAATGAATCCATTCTGAATTTCACTGTCCAGTTTCTCTCTTCATCTCCCAGCATTGCAAAGTTCTCCCACGGTCCTTCATTTCCACTGAGTCTGGGGGGGTGTCATAAAAAGCTTCAAAACAACCCAATTCCCTCCTTTCCTGTATGTGACAAGCTCAGTTCCTGCTCAACTAGTTTGGCAACCTCCCACAGGTGTGAAAAATGACTATTTATATTATTTATTTTTATATATTTATATTTTTTATATATTTAAATATCACATTTCTATTTTTTTCCTTCTCCTTGGCTGTGGGCTCTGGGCTGGAGGAAGAGTTGCTGAGGACCCCTGGAGGGAGCTAACAGAGACCCCACAAGACCCTGTGACCCTGAGGGCCACGAGCTCCCTGCTGGGCTGGGATGGCAACAGCCAGATCAGGGATATGGGAAAACAGGCCAGATCTGCTCTTGGGCCACATCAGTTCTTTAGACACTGAACCACTTTTTGTATCAGTCCAGAGTTATAAATATTCCAGCTCTGCAGCAAAACACCTTTCTTGTTCTAAGCCTTGCAGGAAATAAAGAAAGTAGGCTCATTAAATCACTAGAAATATTGTGGATTTCATTATCTTTTTGTGCTGTATTTGCAGCACTGTTCTGGGAGGCAGCTCTGCAGCAGCCCCTGACATCAATTACTAATTCAGGCAACAGAAATTACATCTGAGTTATAAACAGGAGGACAAAGGCAACCAAAAAGACAGATAAAAAATTGTTGTTCACATGTTTGCACTCCTCCCCATGACCTAGGAGCTGGTCCCCCACAGAATCCCAGGATCCCTGGGGCTGGAAAAGCCCTCCCAGCCCATGGATCCCCCCTGTGCCCCATCCCCAGCTTGTCCCCCAGCCCAGAGCACTGAGTGCCACGGCCAGGCCTTCCTGGGACACCTCCAGGGTGGGCACTCCCTGGTTTGGCCCCTCTTCCCTCCACCCCCTTTATCAAATGTTCCAGCAGCACCAGCAGCTCTCTGGGGTCGAGCAGCCCCCAGCAGGTCCTTGGCACTCGGCAGGAGCAGCAGAGCAGCCCGTGGAGCTCACACATGGAGGGTCTCACCCCAGCCCTGCCAGCTCTGGGGGGTCACACTGAACACTCTGCAGGTCCTGCCCAGCCACCCTGGGACTGAGCACCCTCAGCCTGCTGGGCTGGGTTCTGCTCACTGGGACTGGCTCCAGTGTCACTGTTTTCAGCTCCTATTTACTCACAGTTCTCAAGTCATTAACTTGGAAAGATTCATGAGATGAGAGGGATTTGAAGTGGATGGTGTAGGAGCTGCAGAACTGATGTGTCTGGGGTAGATTTTTGTGGTCCATCCCATGCTGCAATTTTCATGTGCAGTTCATAGAGTTCCAGACTGG